AGACTGCACACGACAACGTAATCTCGAAAAGACTTAACACATCAACCATATTGTTCCACACCGTCTCCAAACAGATGATGGCGATCGTAACGCGTAGAGCTGTGTTAATTCCTGGTAGAAAAGCTGTGCATGTTATTATTAACAGAAACTTGTTTTGATCTTGGCAAGTATGGCAGTTTTAAAAACATGTTGTGTTTATTTCTTTTAATCTTCTGGTACCATACACCGATTCGTTTTATGTTGAATTATGCGTTTTGAAGGATTGAAGGGTGACGTTTTAACATCATGATCGTATGCAGCATGGTTCCGTTCAAACATATTTCATAATGCATGGTAGTTTAACAGTTCAATGGAAGGATGATCTAAAAACCGACAAGATATTTGTTCAATAACAAGGTTAAAATATCAACGCTAGTGCATACTAAGAAGATGGTTTATTGTAGGTGTATAACCCAAGTGTTTGTCTAAGGCTGAAATCAAGTGAAGTACGGAGGACGAATAACGTATAACAACGCAATAGTGTAAGATGGGAGAGAGTGGTGTGTATATAATAGTGTTAAATAAATGTCCAGTAACAATCGTTCGTTTGCTTCTATTTGATATTTTTATGATGTCTGGCAGATTCAAAACTTGTTTCCAAAATAATTATCATCTCATGCACTTTGTAAATATTGACAACTACCTTTTGTAAAATAATAATAGTCTTGTAACTTTTAGAAGAAAAACAAATGATGTTCACAATATTTTTCAATTTTGAGTTGTATTGCATGGGATGTGCTTTTTGCCACCTGCTGTTTTGTTTACGTCGTCGGCTGTCAACATCTAACAAATGTTGGTGACTTTGTGAGGTTATGCGGAAAGGGGGGTTATTAAGGCAATATTAAAAGATGATACTTAAAGATTTGATCGCTAGTTTCAGGCAAAATTGCTACAGACGCTCGATATCGTTTTGACGTCACACCGTCGCGTGTCCAGGTCGTGAAACCAAAGCAAGATCTGTTACAGTGTCGGGAAATATTTCGTTCTCCCAACGTTCCGTTATCGCTATTTAGACGGTCTGACTATGGCTGAACTTTCACTATAAACGTCAACCATAGAACCGTCACGAAGAAGCGTAGCCCTGGAAACGTAGGCCTATGGTTTTGGATATTGACAGTGATAAGTTCTTCTACAACGGTTCATCACTTGGCGGGAGGCAGACTTCGTACGATATGCTTACGCGCATATAGTCCGTGGTTGATTTATATAAATTAATGCAATACTGCTACTCTCAATATTTAAAGTCGTTCATCTATTTTATTTTTCACGAAGTTGTTGCCGAAACATTAATTTTGACAATAATTAAATTTGTAAAAAAAAAAGTCATTTTTGAATATTAATGAGTGACTTTTTACATATGGGTCATATCACTACGCCAGCCTTGTCAACAAACACATGTGTGTATGTTATATCCGACTGATCATGAGATTGTGGTAGAAACAGATCACACGACTCGTGGTTGTTGAGTATGGGATTTATTTCACTCTCGTTAGTTAATTTTCAAAAGTTACAGAAAGACACTCGCTAAAGCTCGTGTCTTTTGTAGCTTTTGAAAATTAACTAACTCGAGTGAAATAAATACCATATTCAACAACCAATCGTTGTGTAACCTCTATGTATATAGCTGGTGGTGCATGGTTTATGAGCCTCCTAAATTACGCATTATTCGGTGAATTAAAGATTTAATTGAAATCCCTATTCACACTCTTCATTTTTGTTACAGTTCCGTCGCATTTCATTATATCAAGAATCGGTAATGAAATAATTTTCTTTATAAGACGTTTTAGTCAGTTTGGACAAATTGGCTTGGAGTTTGGGTGGGTTATCTTGCTTACAATTTTTTTTCAACATCGCATCCTCTAGCACATACACGCAGTGCAAAGGGACTGTCACTATTATATGTAGTAGGTTGTTCTTAAGATAAATGGGCCCCTTGCTTGAAAATATAACACCCTTTTTTTACAAAGGAACCCGCAAGTACCGCTTTAGCTGCTAACAGTTGTATCATGATAGTACACCTAAGTTTGTAAGTGAGAACACTGCTGATGTTGTTTGCTGGTCAATCAAGTCAATATGCTTCCAGTTTCTCTTGTAACAGTATAATGCTGTCAAAGACATTAAAATGTTGGTTTTTTTTTTTTATAGAATAACATCGATATTGAAGAGAACTGTTAAAGGCCTTTATTCTTGGCCATGGAAATATTCTCGATGTAAACACTAATTTCCACACGGCTGTTAAAGGCCCTATAACTTGACCAATGGAAATGTTCTCGAGGTAAACACTGATGTCCATACGGCTGTCAAAAGTCTTATGTCCTGAGTCATGGAAATGTTTTCGAGGTGAATACTGATGTCCATACGGCTGTCAAAAGCCTTAAATCCTGAGCCATGAAAATGTTCTCGAGGTAAACAGTGATGTCCATACGGCTGTCAAAAGACTTGTATCCTGAGCCATGAAACTGTTCTCGAGGTAAACAGTGATGTCCATACGGCTGTCAAAAGCCTTAAATCCAGAGCCATGGAAATATTCTCGAGGTTCATTCATTCATTATTTATTACCTTACACCTTGTGGTTTATCAGTACAGTGTATATATATATTCAAACAAAGAAACAAAGAATACAACACTCCGATCATACATACAAGATAAAATTAAAGCGATAGTGTAGAGAGTGATTCCTTTCATCTTAAACAGTATTGTATCACCTTTTTTAATTTGGCTTACAAATTTTGCTAAATTAGACAGTTCTTAATTATTATTATTGTTATCATCAAACCTGACAATTTTGCCATACTAGGTACTTTATGATGTTTTTTAATGAAACGCTTTCCTCAGGTAAACGCTAATGTACGTACGGCTGTCAAAAGCCCTGTTCCTGTGCCAGGGATATATTATCAAGGTTCAAACTGATGTCCGTACGGCTGTCAAAAGTCAAGGGCCATTAAACTTTTCTTAAGAATAACACTGTACATTTACCCGAGGCAATATGCAGTACTCATTTTTTACATATATTGAATTTGGACGTTCGAACAAGACAATTATGATATACCAATGTCACTTAAAAATATTCCTATTTTTCTTATCCGACCTAATCCACGACATGTCTGGGAAACATATTAATTTCAGTAAAGTATCGTCACATTCAAATATTAAAGGCATACCATAAGGTACATTGTAGTTCCGATCTTAGCCAGTGTACCGATGTTTACTCAGCAATACATACCTACATGCCGCATGTTGTAAAACTTCTTAACTTATAATTCATCACCCAGTCGGTGATGTTTTCCACATATGGAACTAAGAGTTGGTAAGAAGTTAAAATATAGTCACACAAACAATACACCCTCTGGTGTCGCTAGGTGTAATGGTTACAGTTTAACAAAGCTTGATGATTATAAAGCTCAATGGACACGCAGGTCACACGCCGTCGATGGTTAAAATTCAATTTACCTATTACACAAATAGCAAAAGGAAACTTTGAGCATCGAATTCATAGGTTAACGTATTAGTATCATATCAAAAGCGGATGATTTGATGTACCATACTTTATGGATTATTTGGAATAATACAGTCTAAAGCTGTTCCATGATCAATAGAGTTCTTTATGCAAATGTGACACACCGTCCTTTTATGTCCGCTTGTTTCCCCAATGTTGGAAAGATATACTGTTTTACTGTCGTTACTTCACCTGTGTTTTCTTTTCTGGATCCTGTTTGGGACGCGCAATACCATATTTGGTATACGGAGAGTATGCCTGTAATCGTTTTTCAGGTCAGTATATATTAAACTGTTGCAAAAGTTATATTTTTGTTTGCAGACGATAACTGTCTTTCGTGTGGGGTAAAATGTTCAAGTTGATGCTTAGAATACCTGTTAGGGGGAAATACTTAAAATAACTGTGGAGCTATGTAGGTAAAATATCATCCGATTTGTTGATAATGTGGAATTTCGGTTTTAGATATTTCTTTATATTGCTTGCAGTAATAACATCATTATTACAAGCAATAGAAACAACTATCTTGTGCATGTACACACTGTTGATGACCCATTCAAGTGAGGTGGCAATATAATTGATGCCGTTGGAAGCACAGTCCCACTACAAACAGAACACATCACATCTCCAGCACCCACGCAGGCATACACACATAGGGAGATATTAGCCAGGTGGCATATGATTTGTAGTTTGCGCCTGATAAGGTAGTTCCTGCCAATTCCTCAAAAATTGTATTGTTTAATGTACATGGTAATTGTATTAATTGTTCAGCAACTGTATGTACTTTAACGTGATTTAGAATGGCTTATGTTAGCTAGATAGGGCGCTATGTCAAATGTTGTATATTACTAATATTATTATTATGCCACTGGTTATTTTAAACTACGACTTATTGCGTGAAGAACTGTCGATCAACTACAGTTGATGTGAAAACTGGACCAACAACGTAAATACAAGAGTATGCCACCATATCAAATTCAAGATATCACTGGAAGAAACTAAGTGAAACCGGGACGCGGGAAATTCTATCATCGTTTTAACGTAGCTGTTATATCCAACCGACATCGAGAACTTGTTAAATTGTTTTGTATATTCAGCGAGTGTGATGCTGGTTGGAATGTTATGTTAAGCTAGGCCTTGAAAAAGAGCTTTTATGTCTATTTATAAGCTAAATGATAAAATCATAGGATTAATACTGATATCTAAATATGATCCACAAGTTTAATTATATAAGAAATGTTATAGATTTATTGTGTTTGATAGTAATAATCATGAGAACTCTCTTCCTAGCCTTATCGCGCAATTTTTGTGTAACATTGTGTATGTCGTCTGCTTTTCTTACGAGACAAACTGTTTTGATGACGTTTGTATTTTAGCGTTTCCTTATTAATTAAATTACTTTTAATTATAATAATAAGGATAAGGAAAGAAGGAAGGTAATGTGTTAGGAAATAGTAACTTTGTAAATATTAGATTTATAATGCGAGAGGATGAGGAACTTTTTGTGAGAGTTGATGTGAGAAGCGATTTGAGTGGATGAAATGGATCACGTGATCATGCGAGAAAGGTATAAAAGGGAGTGCAAAAGACGTTCGTGTCAGACAATCTTGTAGTTTCAGCCACGACTCTATCTTCCTAAACCTTAACAGGCAACGCTTTATCAAAGGGAGATAACTTCTACTTTTAGGTATGTTAAATAGTTTAGATGTTCTGTTCCTCTAATAAAATTGTTGATTTCTGTTAAATACTATTATGAGTACTGTAGTATAATACAGTATTTGTACTGGTCTGTCGTTACCATAGTGATAGTGTAAATAACTGCTATAGATATATCAAATGTGAAGCTCATTTTCATGTTAAATGACACAAGTTATTCTATAATCTGAAGTTATTAAGTACATTCTTGTCTCCCACCACACTGACCTCTGCCAGTGTGGGAGATCGACATTTATGAGAGAGTTTCATCACTCCTGTACAAATATGCTTGACAATGATGTGTAAAAAAACAAATGAACGGTTTTAATTGTGTTTGTGAAGTAACTTCAACTCTAATTGATGACCACAGAAAACCAAAGCCAGGCCTGCTACAATATGTAACTGTCTTCATTTATCGTCGAAATGTGACGAATCTGTGTCTAAAAAGACTTGGTATATTTCGGAGTCATCCAACAACAGGGCATTACATTATCATACATTTTGTTGATTACATTTCTGGAATCTGAAATATGTTGTAGAATAGTTTATAAATTATTCAAATTAGGTTTATTAGTATCGTTTAATGCATTGGAGCGGATTTCGCGTCACTTTCAGGACAACTCACAGAATGGACAAACCCGATGTCACATCACACTGAAGGTAGGCTGATTGTTAAATTCCATTGGTAGTATTGCTGCAGTGCATATTTATGTAATTATCACTGATACCGTAGATACGGGATAGAATGCCCCTCGTTTACTGTGCTATCTCGTTTAACGACAACGCAATTCGAGGTCCGTTTGTCTTTTATTCATTGATTATTGCTTTGTCTTCTTTATAACGCCACAAAGGTGGCAGTATAAGGTGTACGTATATGTACGTACGTATTTAGAGATTGTTGTCAGTAATTGTTCACAATTTTTGAGTAATTATTTTGTAGTTATTTGCATTATTTAAGTGCGTGAAGGCCCGTCATTTCTTTTCGCAATCGTTACTGATACAAGGTGGTTGTTAATCAATGATGATAGTTCTACAGAGTTGCCATAATATTTCTCAATCGCTACAGACGCATGTACGTTTTGGGATGACTGTTGTTTTTGGTATTCATTTAAAAGATAGTGTAAGACACTCACAGTTGATTGCCCCTTGGAAGCTTTGTGATAGATACAGTATACCAAAAATGAGTCGCATCACACAGCTTTATCGTCAGAAAAAAAACAAGGGATTGAAACAAGCAGCATATGTAAGCTGTCGAATGAAAGGAGGAAAGTCTTTATTTCTAGGGATACGCCTGATAAGGTAGTTCCAGCGAATTCCTCAAAAATTGTATTGTTTAATGTACATGGTAATTGTATTAACTGTTCAGCAACTGTATGTACTTTAACGTGCTTTAGAATGGCTTATGTTAGCTAGATAGGGCGCTATGTCAAATGTTGTATATTATTAATATTATTATTATGCCACTGGTTATTTTAAACTACGACTTATTGCGTGAAGAACTGTCGATCAACTACAGTTGATGTGAAAAACTGGACCAACAACGTAAATACAAGAGTATGCTACCATATCAAATTCAAGATATCACTGGAAGAAACTAAGTGAAACCGGCACGCGGGAAATTCTATCATCGTTTTAACGTAACTGTTATATCCAACCGACATCGAGAACTTGTTAAATTGTTTTGTATATTCAGCGAGTGTGATGCTGGTTGGAATGTTATGTTAAGCTAGGCCTTGAAAAAGAGCTTTTATGTCTATTTATAAGCTAAATGATAAAATCATAGGATTAATACTGATATCTAAATATGATCCACAAGTTTAATTATATAAGAAATGTTATAGATTTATTGTGTTTGATAGTAATAATCATGAGAACTCTCTTCCTAGCCTTATCGCGCAATTTTTGTGTAACATTGTGTATGTCGTCTGCTTTTCTTACGAGACAAACTGTTTTGATGACGTTTGTATTTTAGCGTTTCCTTATTAATTAAATTACTTTTAATTATAATAATAAGGATAAGGAAAGAAGGAAGGTAATGTGTTAGGAAATAGTAACTTTGTAAATATTAGATTTATAATGCGAGAGGATGAGGAACTTTTTGTGAGAGTTGATGTGAGAAGCGATTTGAGTGGATGAAATGGATCACGTGATCATGCGAGAAAGGTATAAAAGGGAGTGCAAAAGACGTTCGTGTCAGACAATCTTGTAGTTTCAGCCACGACTCTATCTTCCTAAACCTTAACAGGCAACGCTTTATCAAAGGGAGATAACTTCTACTTTTAGGTATGTTAAATAGTTTAGATGTTCTGTTCCTCTAATAAAATTGTTGATTTCTGTTAAATACTATTATGAGTACTGTAGTATAATACAGTATTTGTACTGGTCTGTCGTTACCATAGTGATAGTGTAAATAACTGCTATAGATATATCAAATGTGAAGCTCATTTTCATGTTAAATGACACAAGTTATTCTATAATCTGAAGTTATTAATTACATTCTTGTCTCCCACCACACTGACCTCTGCCAGTGTGGGAGATCGACATTTATGAGAGAGTTTCATCACTCCTGTACAAATATGCTTGACAATGATGTGTAAAAAAACAAATGAACGGTTTTAATTGTGTTTGTGAAGTAACTTCAACTCTAATTGATGACCACAGAAAACCAAAGCCAGGCCTGCTACAATATGTAACTGTCTTCATTTATCGTCGAAATGTGACGAATCTGTGTCTAAAAAGACTTGGTATATTTCGGAGTCATCCAACAACAGGGCATTACATTATCATACATTTTGTTGATTACATTTCTGGAATCTGAAATATGTTGTAGAATAGTTTATAAATTATTCAAATTAGGTTTATTAGTATCGTTTAATGCATTGGAGCGGATTTCGCGTCACTTTCAGGACAACTCACAGAATGGACAAACCCGATGTCACATCACACTGAAGGTAGGCTGATTGTTAAATTCCATTGGTAGTATTGCTGCAGTGCATATTTATGTAATTATCACTGATACCGTAGATACGGGATAGAATGCCCCTCGTTTACTGTGCTATCTCGTTTAACGACAACGCAATTCGAGGTCCGTTTGTCTTTTATTCATTGATTATTGCTTTGTCTTCTTTATAACGCCACAAAGGTGGCAGTATAAGGTGTACGTATATGTACGTACGTATTTAGAGATTGTTGTCAGTAATTGTTCACAATTTTTGAGTAATTATTTTGTAGTTATTTGCATTATTTAAGTGCGTGAAGGCCCGTCATTTCTTTTCGCAATCGTTACTGATACAAGGTGGTTGTTAATCAATGATGATAGTTCTACAGAGTTGCCATAATATTTCTCAATCGCTACAGACGCATGTACGTTTTGGGATGACTGTTGTTTTTGGTATTCATTTAAAAGATAGTGTAAGACACTCACAGTTGATTGCCCCTTGGAAGCTTTGTGATAGATACAGTATACCAAAAATGAGTCGCATCACACAGCTTTATCGTCAGAAAAAAAACAAGGGATTGAAACAAGCAGCATATGTAAGCTGTCGAATGAAAGGAGGAAAGTCTTTATTTCTAGGGATACGCCTGATAAGGTAGTTCCAGCGAATTCCTCAAAAATTGTATTGTTTAATGTACATGGTAATTGTATTAACTGTTCAGCAACTGTATGTACTTTAACGTGCTTTAGAATGGCTTATGTTAGCTAGATAGGGCGCTATGTCAAATGTTGTATATTACTAATATTATTATTATGCCACTGGTTATTTTAAACTACGACTTATTGCGTGAAGAACTGTCGATCAACTACAGTTGATGTGAAAACTGGACCAACAACGTAAATACAAGAGTATGCCACCATATCAAATTCAAGATATCACTGGAAGAAACTAAGTGAAACCGGGACGCGGGAAATTCTATCATCGTTTTAACGTAGCTGTTATATCCAACCGACATCGAGAACTTGTTAAATTGTTTTGTATATTCAGCGAGTGTGATGCTGGTTGGAATGTTATGTTAAGCTAGGCCTTGAAAAAGAGCTTTTATGTCTATTTATAAGCTAAATGATAAAATCATAGGATTAATACTGATATCTAAATATGATCCACAAGTTTAATTATATAAGAAATGTTATAGATTTATTGTGTTTGATAGTAATAATCATGAGAACTCTCTTCCTAGCCTTATCGCGCAATTTTTGTGTAACATTGTGTATGTCGTCTGCTTTTCTTACGAGACAAACTGTTTTGATGACGTTTGTATTTTAGCGTTTCCTTATTAATTAAATTACTTTTAATTATAATAATAAGGATAAGGAAAGAAGGAAGGTAATGTGTTAGGAAATAGTAACTTTGTAAATATTAGATTTATAATGCGAGAGGATGAGGAACTTTTTGTGAGAGTTGATGTGAGAAGCGATTTGAGTGGATGAAATGGATCACGTGATCATGCGAGAAAGGTATAAAAGGGAGTGCAAAAGACGTGCGTGTCAGACAATCTTGTAGTTTCAGCCACGGCTCTATCTTCCTAAACTCTGTTAAATACTATTAGAAGTACCGTAGTATAATACAGTATCTGTACTGGTCTGTCGTTACCATAGTGATAGTGTAAAGTAACTGCTATAGATATATCAAATGTGAAGCTCATTTTCATGTTAAATGACACAAGTTATTCTATAATCTGAAGTTATTAAGTACATTCTTGTCTCCCACCACACTGACCTCTGCCAGTGTGGGAGATCGACATTTATGAGAGAGGTTCATCACTCCTGTACAATTATGATTGACAAGGATGTGTAAAAAAACAAATGAACGGTTTTAATTGTGTTTGTGAAGTAACTTTAACTCAAATTGATGACCACAGAAAACCAAGGCCAGGCCTGCTACAATATGTAACTGTCTTCATTTATCGTCGAAATGTGACGAATCTGTGTCTAAAAAGACTTGGTATATTTCGGAGTCATCCAACAACAGGGCATTACATTATCATACATTTTGTTGATTACATTTCTTGAATCTGTAATATGTTGTAGAATAGTTTATAAATTATTCAAATTAGGTTTATTAGTATCGTTTAATGCATTGGAGCGGATTTCACATCACTTTCAGGACAACTCACAGAATGGACAAACCCGATGTCACATCACACTGAAGGTAGGCTGATTGTTAAATTCCATTGGTAGTATTGCTGCAGTGCATATATATGTAATTATCACTGATACCGTAGATACGGGATAGAATGCCCCTCGTTTACTGTGCCATCTCGTTTAACGACAACGCAATTCGAGGTCCGTTTGTCTTTTATTTATTGACTATTGCTTTGTCTTCTTTATAACGCCACAAAGGTGGCAGTATAAGGTGAACGTATATGTACGTACGTATTTAGAGATTGTTGTCAGTAATTGTTCACAATTTTTGAGTAATTATTTTGTAGTTATTTGCATTATTTAAGTGCGTGAAGGCCCGTCATTTCTTTTCTCAATCGTTACTGATACAAGGTGGTTGTTAATCAATGATGATAGTTCTACAGAGTTGCCATAATATTTCTCAATCGCTACAGACGCATGTACGTTTTGGGATGACTGTTGTTTTTTGTATTCATTTAAAAGATAGTGTAAGACACTCACAGTTGATTGCCCCTTGGAAGCTTTGTGATAGAGACAGTATACCAAAAATGAGTCACATCACACAGCTTTATCGTCAGAAAAAAAAGGGATTGAAACAAGCAGCATATGTAAGCTGTCGAATGAAAGGAGGAAAGTCTTTATTTCTAGGGATACGCTTTTTTTCCTCTCACGGTATCTTTATTTACAACACTTTAAATAAAATTTGACTTCGTGTTGTTATCAATTCGGTTTCCCATCTAATCAATAGCTTATATGCCACATTCCACGTTGATAAGTAGATTTTCCAGGCTTATTTCGGATTGGTAGTAATATATGTAATACATGGTACCTGCAGGACGTTCTCAGAGCTAAGCGTTCATCCGTTGTTTATCCGAGGCAAAGTGAAAATTCATCGCGTTTTTTGTTCCTCACTGAATGCGTGTGTAATCAGTAAGGAGTTATCGCTTCACTATTGATGCTATTGTAATTCCTATAGCAAACATTTTTTCCTAATGATGTATGGATTGGAGTTTTTTAACGGAGAAAAGATGATTTTAAAATGTAAAGAGACAGTTTGTTATTGTTGTAAAATAAAATTTATTCGAAAAGATCAAACACCCCGGATGAAAAACATCACTCAAGACCCCGATTGAGATATAGAGCTGGGGTGAGAAATCGTGTCGCCTATGTCCATATAGATTGCACATTCGGTAACAGTTGTCCTTCTTCGGCTCATGGATTGTTCTTGGGTTCAGAAAGTTGAAAATCGAAATTGTTCAGAAGTGTGTTGTAGTCAATGTCAATTATTGATATACTGTATTATGGATAACTTTCACACAGTATTTGTTTTCGCTATATTCGCGATAACCAAAGATAGCACGAAATAAAATACCAATAAATCATTAATACCATGAATACCATGAATATACAGAAATAAATTACATCACCAAAATACAAAGGTATCGTCTTGAACATAATCATTTTTATCTGGTATTGTTATATAACAATAACTAAAATGTGTTTTCAAAAGTGATATAAATGAATATTTACGTAATGGTCAAAAACGGAATTTGAAACAACGATGATTATTAGTAAAAAAAATTGAAATTTACAATATTGTTGAAAGCATGAACTTTCAAGCTGTTATTATTAAAGTCCTACAGGAAGGAAGGAAAAGAGTCGTTTTGTACAGAACAGTTAACAGGGCAACATGCAGCTAGGGAATGAAGCTGTCGTGGTTTGTTGTAAAAAGAAACCCGTGCAGGTAAGGGGGGACCTGCACTGTCATAGGATCAGTGGGCATAGAGGATACCAAAAATAGGGGCGACCTAGGTAGGACTCCCTGCAGAATCAGAGGTTTTTTATCTGTGTCTCCGGCTCAGAGAACATTGCATAACCAGATTTGATATGGTGCTCCCATTTGCAAAACTTGGGTGTTTTGTCGGTCTTCTATCTCTTCCTGGCGGTGTCTCCCTAGGCACCTGTCCCCATGTTACCCATGCTGTTGTGTCTCCCTAGGCACCCATCCCCATGTTACCCATGCTGTTGTGTCTCCCTAGACACCCATCCCCATGTTACCCATGCTGTTGTGTCTCCCTAGACACCCATCCCCATGTTACCCATGCTGTTGTGTCTCCCTAGGCACCCATCCCCATGTTACCCAGGCTGTTGTGAGGACGTTTAACCCTAAACAAACAAATAAAATAAACCCTGTTATCAATAGGTAACCGATAACACTGATGACGTGTCTTCTATATACACCAGGGAGGCTGAAACCATATCGGTCTTCTCTCCTTGAGGAATATCGCTGTTATGTCTAAAATAGTTTGGTATGTAGATAATATGTTCTGATAAAAATTGAAAAGCGTGGGCCAGTATTCATGAAATGTTATCATGCTCAAGCACGGATCTGTGCTCAACCCAGCATTCTTGTTACTTGCCTTAATCATGTGACAAGGTAAAAAAAATCACCTTCAAATATTGGAAACGGTATTTGATTTTCAGTTTCTCATAAATTATTCGAAATCATGGACAAAATGTGATTCTTAGTCATTTATCGGTATAACAAGATATTGCATTTCAGCATGGGAACGGTGTCGGGAACACGGGCCCTGGTCATGTATTACAATATATGTAACTAGGTTAATCTTTCTCAAAAATGCGGCAATAAAATTAGGTTACAGGTGATGAAAAATATGATATACATTTGGGTAACCATTCATAAATTTATATGTAAATTGGTACACGTATATTTCCATGATAAAGACGAAAATGGTGTATTGCTGCATCCATCATAAACATGAATAGTTTTAAGTTGCAGTTTGCTACAACGTAAGGATGTCCACCAAGCTGTTCCTGCTCTGTCTTTGTTGCGTGCGTCAGCTACAAGGGATCAAGATAGTAACTTACAATACTGCTCTTATCGACAGCAATGACTTCTATGCCGAACGGAAACCTGAAATCATATCCGCAATACAAACAATGGATTATGACGTGTTGTGTCTCCAAGAGGTAAGTGGAACATTACTTATGTTCATTTTTCATATTTATCTAGTTTTCAATGAATGGATTCACCCAAAAGCAATGATACAAGATGAGAGTTACTCAAAATCAAGTACATTCAAGTAAAGATCATGTGACATGGTATCATACGTTTTGTCCACTGTCTTTACCAAACATTTGACGCTTTGTCAGTTTCCTTGCATAGGCAAACGAATAATTTAAGATTTTTTATTTTTTTTTATCAATTCGCTCAATGGAAATAAGTATACAAACAACTAAACACAAATCCCAGGGATAATGATTTTATTTTAACTTCACATATGCATATTACACAATACTCACAGTCAGTTGATGTTCATTAGAAAAAGTCTTTTATGACCTGCTGTATGTATGATTATATAATTACCTTATTTACTGTAATATACTGGATATAGCATTTGTTCCTTGATCATATTGGGCCTCGTACAATAGTGCTTTTGTCTATTTTTAGGTTTTCTACGGAAACGATGTAATAGAGATAGAGGAAAACCATGGGTCGCACGTCAAGTCATTTAAAATACCGTTAACACAGGAGACGGACAGTGAGGGCGCCAAGGCACCACCGTGTGCCGCTGCTGCCAGAAATGGCACACTAAACTGTGTATTCACACAGTGTGCCACACTGCCGCTCAGTCAATTTGTAAAGTGTTCGTTTGAAACCTGCAGAGCTGATTTAATAAGTCAGGCGTGTTTATCATGTCTGACTTACGATGCACGAAAAATGGAAAAGCGCTGTATACTGGATAAAGGCGCCATAAACCCTTCGGGATTAATGCTTCTCAGTAAACGTAAAGTCCTACGTGTCCAGTATAACTACTTTGAGGATCCAGATCTCAAGCTTTTATTTAAAAGGGCGTATATTTCTGCAAAGGTAAGTAGTTTTGTTAATATCGCCTTCATTACTTTCTTACACAAATGTATTTTTGTAGTAGTAATGTTTCTCTATTCGTCCTCATTTTATTATTTCTTTATCATCAGGAGTTATGTATTACGTTACTGATAAAAGAAGTACACTATTTTGTGTTTGAGATATATGTATTAAAAGATATGGCAAGAAATATAGTGCAACCTCAACATTTTATAATCAGTTTTTATCATTTTATATTCAGAGCCAGTTATTTTCCAATTTTTCAATAAATGGTATATTTCAAATAAACAAACAAACAAACTCAGTTTATAGAGATATTCTGAAAAAAAACCAATCAGAACAAAAGAAACATAAGTTTCTACAAACTTTGAAAATGAAACTTGTTAGTTAAGACCGAAAGAGGGAAGGGGAAAGCGCGGGGGTGGGGGTGGGGGTGGGTCGTCAGTTCCACGTATATAAACAACGGTATAATTAAAACCCATGATTTCTTTATTACCATAATGATATAATGACTTTCTTAGAATACAGTACGTGTTTTTCTATGTTTAAGCGTTAACCATTATAACGCAAATTCAACAACTAGGATACAATCTTTATAACGTTAAAATAATTCCGTGAAAGAAGAAATGTACGTGGTGTTGTCATTTTCAAGTTTATCGCGTTGAGTAAATTCGCGCAAAAATATCTACATAGTATTGAAGGGGATCACCGCTATCATAATATTTAATACAGTTAGTTAATTCCGGTTTGGAATCTTATTCTATTTACATTTGTATAATGTTCTTCGTTGAGAAGTTTATATATTCCTTTTTATGTACATGTGTGACGTTGCATTCGTTTAAAAACAAAATAAATGTTCATTTCATGCTATGCTGCTTTTCATTCCATGCTATATTAGTATTACCGATTGCGATTTCGTGTTAATTTAGAATTCACTCCATTCTGGTTTTAATAAACGAATTTTATGAAGAGTTGAATCCCTTTTTTTAACCGTAAATAGTAAAAGTTCGAAAACTGAAGTGTATGTTGGAGCGCCGCTTGTCGTCATTATGAGGAACTGTCATTACAGAATTTCAGTTCCTAATTATTACAATATTCTTGGAAATATTGCTTGCTCTGGAAGCATATCCGATTGTGGCAGTATATTTTGGAAAATGCAGTCATGAGTACAGTAAGTGTTGGTTTGACAGCAATTGAAATGTATTTTTATTTAGTTTTGAGCAAAAACTGTTTGTAGCGTATTGGAAAATCGTCATATTTATAATTAACACATATCTCCTAGACATTACGAACCACCACGCAGTTTACGATTCGGTGACTAGCACAATGGATTGCAAACTTCCGATCCATAATAAATAAAGGATTCTATACATTAATGTGTTTGGCATACTGTTGAGTGTGCATACTTTTAGCGGAACACTGTTATTAACTGACCCTTAACCTGGCCCTAGGCTGAGAATTATTGGATACATAGGCGGACACTGCGGTTATACCCATTGTGGCGTTCACGTAAGCGTTCGGTTTGGTTTAATTTTGTTTAATATGTTAAACAGCTATGGTCGTTTAAGGACCTTACTCCGTGTGTATTGTGTTAGTGTACATGTGTGTGTGTGTGTGTGTGTGTGTGTGTATGTGCCGGAGACAGGGTATGATGGTGGACTTGCCTCCTTATGAAAGCGCGGAACTGATGCCGACTTTATATTGCTACCTCACTGAAATACCATGCCGAAGGCACCAAGCACAGCATTCGTTAGAGAAGTCGTTCAGCGTTTAATGAAGGCAACTAAACAGTTGGTGTTTTTTCTGTGTTTTGTTTTTCATCTGCCTAACAGAATCCCCATATGTCATAGCATAACCTTTCTTGTGTTGCTTACATTTGGCACTAACAGAGGATGGAATAGCCTTACTGTATACGGTTAAATGATTCGTGAATCCACTTCTGTAAATATTATACTTTTTTATATTTCATTTGAGTCAAGCGAAAGCGCACCTTTCTCCTTAAAATGACAAACATACATTGGTACAATACTTTATACTCAAAAAGAGCAGCAACATATGCATGTTTACTTCCAGTAACAAAAACATATAACATTGTGAATAAGTATGCACTTTTTGTAAAAGAAGTTGTCTTGTCTCGTTGCATGAAACATAGAAGCATAAAGAGGTGATATTCTATATTTTATTCTTTATGCAATTGAGTGAATTTAGGAAGTTTACAAAATACACCTCTTTCATTTGAGATAAGTAATAAATATAAACACCAATTTTAAAATTCTTGCAGAAGACGAACCTGTCCATTTCACTCATCTGATGTGTCAACGTATTCAAGTCTCACAAACATGATTAATGTATCATTGGACCACCCAGAAACGTTTAAAGCCAGAAGTATATACGTCTCTGAACCACCTGATCAGACATAAAAAGTGCAAAATATGGTCAAGCGTATGAATTCTTTTCTCGTGTAATGTAGTTGTATCGATTGTGGTTTTGGGCTTTGCATAAAATGCAACACAATCTGTGACAGTGCTTTATTTTATGTATAGATTCCTTGAAGATGATACTTGTTCATCTCCCCGATATTTATCCTGAAGACAATGTTCTTGAATGGAATATTGGAAGACCATAATCTACGTTACCTACCCCCCTGCCCACCTGCTGACATCCCTTTGTGTTTTGGCCTCCTGCTGTCAGCACTGGACACAAGTGTGTTGAGTGTAATTTACCTGTACACAAATTCCCTCCTTAGTTGCCACAGCAGTGGATCGAGATAATTTATGTATATCATTGGAAGAAAAAAGTTTATCTTAAAATTTCATAATTCAAATATACTCTCGCGATACATTAGCACTGCATATATAGTTGCAAACAATCAAATGTGAAACTGATTATCGGTATTATCACCGAGTTAGATAGCAATCTTATGATGGCATATTTCTGCCATCGACTTTCGACTTGCGAGTTACCTATGTCGACATAATTTTTAAAAGATGTCGACATGATCTATGAATACGTCGCAGTAACGTTTAACTTATGCAGACATATTTTTACATTTTCGGATATGCTTTTTCCGAGATCATAATCATGAAAGTAGGTACCTCTGCTTTTTTTTTTATCATTAATGATCAAATGTGACATCGATTTACCACTTATTTATGTATAGTTAACCAATCATTATTTCACGTGGTGTATTAACAGCGTATTATTAGGTTTAAAAACGATTTAGCCTCATTTATGTTTTGAATATAAGCAATTTCAGTCACGTGATAATTTCTTGGAGAATGATTTGTTAACTGCTCGTTTTGCTTTCCATAAGTAAGTGGCAAGTCGATGTCACACTGTGTTAGTTCGGTGATCCGGATGCGGTTGGGGAGGGGTCCGTATTTATTTAAGACGATAGCAGCGTCGCTTGTCGTCATAATGAGGAACCACTCATATATCATCCACTGGCTTACTAGTTTACTAGTTGACTAGCTAGCTATTTCTGATTAACAAATTAGTTTCGAATTTCTATTTATTACAAAAAAGACGACATCATCAAATCAACCAAAAGAATTTATTGATTATATACATCACAAGCCTGGAATGGGTTGTATTCAATCTTTTCGCATTGCAGAGTTATCTGCTCTTGTGAACAGGTATTGATTGTTTCGTCATTATTTAGTGTGAGAAAAATACGTCGTTTTCTCAAAAAATTATGACGTTACTCTCACAAACAAATGACGTAACAATTAATACCTGCTCACAAGAGCAGATAACTCTGCAATACGAAAAGACGGAATACCGCAATCGGTAAAATTAGCATAGCATGGAATGAAAACTAGCATAGTATGGCGTTAACACACAATAGAATGTATATAGCATGGAATATAGATACTTCTTAACTAAGGAAATAATACAAGTGTACATAGATACCAAACGAATATAAGTATGGTGGTAGTCTCTAACATACATGCGAATATTTATTTATAGATAATAGACAAATAAAATATTCCAAGTTATTGCCAACGCGAACATTTCCCCATCGCGATTAGCGTAAAGGGTCACAACGCGAACATTTCCTTACGCGAAAATTTCCACCTGGACAGTATTAGATTATTTAGTTACAATATTTCAGAAGTATCCTATTTTTGATTGTTTCAGATTGCTGGTGTTGGAACAGTTATATGTACTCATACGACTGCTTTCCTGGGTCCTGCCTACGCTGAATGTACGTATAAAAGTTACCGAGATATTCAGGGTCCTCGTACCACTGCCAAAAAGTGAAGTAGTGTACAGGAAACTGTTGTTTTTCCAGCTTGAAAGTAGCTTTATATATTCTTTTTGAAAAGAAATCGATACCTTGCGTAGCTTTCTGGAAAACAAAACAAAATATTTATTAAGCAAAATATCATATACAGCTGTATTCTGAGAGTAAAACGTCCACCGAGGCCAGGCAATGATTCGAACCGTGGACCGCCGATCGTAACACTGTCGTCTTAACCGACTGAGCTACCTGTTGAACTGTAACTCTTAGGTCCAGCCGCGCTAAACTTATACCCAGAACGAAATAAAGGGAAGTTATAGTGTGTAAGAAAGACCACAGTGGAACTCTGTTGTGTATTGTCTGCGATGGGACAGCGATCTTTTTTACTTTTTTTATCCTACACTTGGCTTTGTAAGGCTAGAAAACATAAGACAACAAGATGCAATTGGTATTTATAGAATGAAATGTGAACTAGTTGAAATTTTACCATATAAAGATTATCATGATTACACGAATTGTCTTTATTGTAACGAATTCGAAGCCGACTTCAGAGTGCTATCTCACTAAAATACTTAGCCGAAGTCACCCAGCATAGTATTCCGCCAAGCCACACAATACTGACAATAGGGTGAGCCAGTTGCTGCCGTCACCCAAAATGCTGAACGTTCAGCAGGGAATAACTACTGTCATTTCAAGGACTGTGGTATACAGAACCCACTCAGGACCACAATTGTGCGAACGAAATATTTCTATTCTAAATGTCCATATGCGCCACAGACATGGTCTTTTCGCCTTGTTCGCCTTGCTTTAAAACGGGGAATTGACAATTTAGTATAGTTAACACGTGTGAAAGGCGAAAACTTCAATACGGGAAATTTCAAGGTTCCCGTTTTACATTTCTAAAAGATCATATCTTTCCCTGTTAAATAAACTCTGTGCCCATATAAATGTTGCTGTATTTAAGAATAATAATTGACTTCTCAATCACGTGACTGTCATGCTACGTTGTTCATCCGGTTATTGACGCCAGGTAAGTAGTTAAAATGCATTTCTTTTGTATCATTGACCATATCAAAAGACCATAATTACATACTATTTTTTAATATGTTTAGACACACTACGAGACCAGAATATATACTCCAGCTGGGCAGAACAGAACTTGGCAGAAAGCATGAAACTAACAGCTTTGGCAAAAACGAATCCCAGCCGAGCAGCAATCATTGTTGGGGACCTCAACGCTGGGCCAGCAGTTCCTACGGACATCGCTCCATTAATTGAAGGTATGTTCTGTCCGTATAAAATAAACGGTACTCAAAGCAATATTACCACATCACAATACCGTTGCGTTGAAATGTATTTTATTTATTTGGTTTTCTTTATCATGACGGTAAATGAAATATATCACCGATATTTTTTCCTTAAGGAAAACCGTACCACTGTCAATAACTGCAATTATGAATCGGACTTTTCAGGCATCAGATATTTTTTCTGAAAAAAAACATACTTCGCAAGACTTTAAAAAAAAAGAGAGATTAAATCAACGAAAATAAAGAACAACATGTGTTGAACCTAAACAAATCAGTGTACACAGTGCGAAACGGGATTCGGACCCTAGACCCCAGATTGTTATATTGTCGCTCTAACCGACTGACTTACCTTGTCAACGGAACTGGCTTGGCACAGCTGTGCTACAGCTATAACCAAAAACAAAATAAAGGGGAGGTAACTGTGAATACGGAAAACTAGCGTGCATAGGACAGGGTACCTAAAACGAACATACAATAAAAAGATCACATTTCTGTTTACAAGTACTCAATAAAAATGGGGGGGGG